TCCTAAACTAAACTATTTCTTTACAGATTTTTTCTCCCCAGTTGTTACTCATGTTGATAGTTTATCAAGTAATTCAAATCCGCTGTTCACAAAGTATAGCCAAGTTTTCCTTAATAACTTGGTAGTCACCAATAGTTAGTACACTAAAATTTACATGCCGACACAAGGTGATTAAGTTGATGGAAACACTGTGTCCTCTTAAGCGGATGGAGCCAAGAATATCATTGTCTGGTTTATGAACTTATAACCAATAAGGCCTTCCACAGACATAACAATTGGGCCTTTTTTTTTTTCATGAACGCAGAGGACAAGCATTCAACTGTGGCATGTATCAAGCCAGGTACAGTATACTGACTAAAGAAGGTGATGGCCCCACACAGACCCCTTCTGGATGGCTTTCATTCAGTCTGCTCATTTTAACACACATCTGCAAAATGAGGCATGGCCACTGGGGGGCTGATGAGCAGGGTTTGGTGTTTATTTCTGGAGAGCAAGTGGCAAGAGGCCTGACAGTGACCTTCAGAGACTAGATTTAGTCTGTAAAGCTCCCAAAGACACAACCGTATCCTGTGGAAAATTGTTTTGGGAAGATGGATCTTCTTTAAAGTCATCTCCACATTGATTACAGCACCTGCACAGAATTTTGCACAAATCTGAAGGGAAGAACTGGAAGAAATCCCTCAAACATACCAGATAACCACCACCCAGATGAGAACCCAACAGTCCTCTTATGGGCATCACCTTGTATTCAATTTGGGGCAATCATAAATACTACTTTTATGAATAATACTGTATACATAATTTATGACATATGACTTTCTGCTGGATATGTACCTAAGAGTATTTGCTGGTATTTAGGGGAAAGTTTTGATAGGGATAGGATTCTTTATAATTTTTTTTAGTATCTTGGCTATATTGGTACCCTGCCTTCTCATTTCCAAGTTTTTTGATGAGAAATCCATTTATAACCCCATTGAACATCTCTTGTACATGTGAGTCACTTCCTTCAAGTTTCCCTCCTTTGGGCCCATTGTGATAGTCTAGTGGCTGAAATCCTCACCCTGCATGTACCAGGACCACATATCGGCATGGATTCGTATCCCAGCTACTCCACTTTCCTTCCAGCTCCCTGCTTATAGCCTGGGAAAGTAGTAGAGGATGCCCTAAGGCTTTGGGATTCTGCACCCACATGGGAGACCCAGAAGAAACTCCTGGCTCTTGGTTTTGAATCAGCTCAGCTCTGGCCATCACAGCCACTTGGGGAGTGAACCAGTGGATGGAAGATCTTTCTCTCTGTCTCTTCTTCTTCCTATAAATCTGACTTTCTAATAAGAACAAATAATTTTTTAAAAAAATATTCCCTTTTGGAGCCAGCACCTTGGCATAGCTGGCTAAGCAGCACCAGCATCCAGTATGGATGAAGGGATAATAAGATTTTCCCAGTGGAGTCAGAGGGTGACTAAAGAAGCAGGACCAATGCATGTCTCACACTGCTGCCTAAGAATGTAACTTGGGGTATTTCTACCCTCTGCCTGCAAGCAGCAAGACGTTACTGGTCCCTTGCTTTATTGTGGGCATTTTTATGAAGAACACACTTAGTATGCAATCCTTATCTTCTATTGGTTATGTGACTCTGTTCTTTCCCAAAGACTTCTACCAAAGATGCTTTGCTGCTTTCTGATAAATGAACACTGCTCTTGGCCTCCCTGTGCATACTCACTAAGAGCTATCTAAATCCGTGTCTGCTGACCTGCAATTCCTGTGATGCCAGCTCTGTAAAGTTCTTTGGCCTTTATAGTCTCAGAGCTTGATCGACAAAATCCAGAAAAAAGTGCAAATCTATTTGAAGAAAGAAATCAGATACTACAAATTACACAAACTCAAGGGATAAAAGATAAACTTATTTTTTTCACAATTTTATTTATTTGTTTGTTTATTAATTATAATCTTACTTAGTTGATTAGGGTACAAAGGGTCAAGGGCTACAGGAAAGTGGGTAAGACCATTGTTTCCACACTAATATCATTTTTTCCCCTGTATCTGGGGTCAGGGGAGAAACAAAGAGAGAAGTCCCACCCAGCCTCCCACCCATCCCAGGTCCCCAACGTGGGGCATGCTCTGATGGTCCTGCTCAAGCAGTTTTGATAGTTCAACTGTCCTGAATTGCATTCCAATCACAATGAAATCTATTCAGAATCCACTGGCTGACATAGTCTCTTCATGGTTGGGGTTCTGAGATCAGCAGTTCAGTTGGAGGGATCTCCAAAGAAACTTCGTCTGAGGTGATCCCAGACCTGATTCTTGTGTGTGCTTGCCAGTACAGGGTCCAGCAACTGTTTGTCACCCCAAACAGCTTATGCACATGCTGGTCATTGCAATTGCTGGATCATTTCTGTTTCCAGCCCTGTCTTCCACATGAACCAATAGGTATTGCAGTCCAGCCTGATCCTGCCCACTTCATACTCAGCCCTCATGCAAACCATTGGGAGCTTCAGCCTAGTTGGGGCAACTCCCCATAAACCCCACCAGGCCTGCTTCCTACCCTGGTCCCCATGTTTGCCAGTATATACCACAAACTTGTTCAGTCTGTCCCACATCCCATTTAGCTCTCATACATGTCAATGGGCATTGAAGGCTAGTTCAACCCAACCAGCCCTGCTATCCAACCCACACACATACTGACAGGTGCCTTTCTAGCCACTCCTGCCCCTGTCCTGGTTTTCATGCTCTCCAGTGGAGGTGGTAACCCAAGAGGGAGGTGCCCATTATTTCCCTACTAGGCCACTCCCACTCCTGGTTTATGCACTCTCCAGGTGGTTCTGGAGTTAAACTTGACAGATTTAGCTCCCAGTGCCAGCTTCTGCCAGCTGATGCTGCGGCAAAGCCCAACCAACCCTTGCCCACTCTAATTTTTGCTTGCACCAGTCGGAACAGTCAGCCCAATCTGGCTTTTTCTTGATCAGGCTCACATGAGGCCCACAGGTGTTGTAGTCCTGCCTGGTCTGGTCTACACCCATCCCAACTCATGCTCTTCAGTGGGAATGTTTGTCCAGCAGCGGAGCCCACATTCCCCCCTGCCAGCCTTGCCCCTCCCTCCCTGGTTCTCACATGTGCTGTTTGGGCACTGCAGCCACATCTGGTACGGCTCACCTCACCTTGGCATTCCGTAATGTGCACTGGTTTGTGTCGCGACCGAACCTGGCCCGACCCACACTCTATTCTGGTGCTCAGATTCGCCAGCGGGTGTTGTGAACTGGTTTATCCTGGTCTGCCCCTGACAGTATGCCAAATGTATGCTGATGGGTATCTTTCTTTGGCCTGGTCTGGGCTGTTCCCTATCATGGTTCTTGCACTCACCTGCAGGGACTGTGTCCCGACAGAGGAGTTTGCCAAACTCCTCCATCAGAACCTCTCCCTATTCCAACTCTTGCACATACCAGTGGGTCCATGGGCCAGTCCTCCTTGCTGGCATTCAATCTGTTCCAGTTCTTACTGTTGGATGTTTCTGTCCAGCCAGGCTTGTCCATACCCAGACACTGCTCACACATGGCTCAGTAGGGGCAGAGACCTAACCTAGTCCGTCCTACATCTACCCAGGTTCTCTAGAGCATTAGATGGTGCTGGCATCCAGCCTGGTTAGGTGCGCCCAGCCCCAGTTCACACTTGTGTCAAGGGAGATTGCAGCCATATCCAGACCAGGACGCAGCCCCTACTCTGGTCCCCGCACTCCCCCGTGGGAACCCTAACCCAGCAAGGATGTACTCTCACTGCTCCCCAACCAAGCCTATTCCTAGCCCTAGATTACGTGCATGCCAGTGGTTGCTCTGACCCAGTTGGCTTAGCCCCTCACCTGTCTTAGCCTTTTCCTTTGATGCTGTGGCCTAGTATCCCTGGCTTATGCAGACCAGTCAGTGTAAGAGCCTATTTTGGCATGACCTGTGCTCCATCCTGAATTCTGTTCTTCCTTGTGACTTGAGGTTTGCTCGGCCCTGCCCAGTCCACCCCACATTCTATTTTAGGATACACTTTTGGGTGCTGCTGCCTTGACCTGCCCAGACTGTTGTCGGTTCCTTTACCTATAAGTGATGGCAGGTTCCATGGTCACTCCTAGATCAGCCCATCACCAGCTCATGAGCTAGCCAGCGGGACTTGTATTTCCACAGGGTTGGGCCCACACTTCCCCCACAGAATCTACCCCTGGACCTGGTTCTCTCATGTACTGGTTAGTGTCTTGACCCTTCCTGCTAAGTGTGACTTGTCCACTGTTCCACCACTCAGTCATGTACTGGTACCTAGCCCTGCCAGACAGTGGTGGAACAATGGAATCCCCAGAATTCATCCCTCAGCTACACTCACACTGGCCTTATCCATGGGTGTCCCTATGCAGCAATTACATATCCTAAAAACCCAAGAGCTCGCTGCCATTGGGCGGCCAGCAGGCAGAGCCTCATGCCCAATAGGCGCACTGGCTGCCCAAAGCCTAGGATTTGGTCACTGCCTTTCGGCAGTGACTTCGGCCTGAGTCCCCAGCATTGAGTCCAGCCTGGCTGGGGCACCCCCCACAGCCACCACACTGCAGGGAGCTGCTTTTGCCCCAACTCCACAGCTGAACCAAAAGGTACACTTATTAGCCCCAGTGTGTTAGCCTAGTGGTTAAAGTACTTGCTTTGCATGCACCAGGATTCTATATGGGAGTCAGTTCGTGTCCCAATGGCTGCACATCCTATCTAGCTCCCTGCTTGTGGCCTGAGAAAGCAGTATGGGATGGCCTACAGCCTTGGAACCCTGTACCCTCCTAGGAGACCCAGAATTAGCTTCTGGTTCCTGGCTCCTGGCTTCAGATTGACTCAGCTCTGGCTGTTGTAGCTACTTGGGGCGTGGACCAGTAGATGGAAGATATTTCTCTCTATCCTTCCTTCTCTCTGTAAATCTGAATGCCAAATAAAAATAATTTAAATAAAAACATTCATTTATCTATGAGTTAAGAAGGAACATACAAGCTTATTACAGTGAAAGACATATTTAATGGGTCTGAGAAAATATACACTGATGGTTAAGAAGCTAAGGTGGGAGCCTGCTGGGGCACGCCTTTCGCATGGGATGGATTTTGCGGGGCAGTGCCCGATGGGTAGCCAGGACCTCCTGGATCTTGTCCTGGCACTTCTTGTTTTCTGCTACCCCTGCTTCAAACTCAAGGCGTCTCTCTTCCTTCTCTGCTTCTTGGATCTGCTGCTGGTAGGCCATCTGCATGTCAAGTTGCTTCCTGTACTCCTGGGCCTTCCCGTAGCGTCTAGATGTTAGGAATGTCAACACATAAAATCATTAAAGTTAAGCTGGTGAACCGATTTAGAGCACTGTTCTTAAGTACAATTTGTGGAGCCAAATTCCTCTCATAAAATTTGGCTGAGCACAGAAGACACAGCTGAAAAGCTTAATACTAAGTACCTGAGACCATCACCTGCTCCATCCTTCTATCAGGGCAGTCATACACACACAGATGTGCTTCATTTAGCTAACCCTTTTCCTCTCAGACATGCTCTGCTCCCTTCCTCCCCTTCTATCAGGCCGTCACTACTTTATCACCTTTTATCAGGAGGTTCACTACTTTAGGAACCTTGCAGAGGCGGACTCACACATGGTATCCATATCTTTCTGTGGCTGATTTCTTTCACCCACAAAAATATCCCCAAGGTCCAGGCCTACTGGAGCATGTGACAGGATGGGTTTCCTCTTTCTGAGCAACATCTTTACCTGCTCATTCATCCGACGGCATCTCTAGCACTTTGACTTCTTGAATATTTTGAGTCAAGCTGCCATGAACACATATGTGTACTTACTTCATTGAAACTCTGCTTATGGTATTTTTGGATATATATTCAGAAGCAACATTTGCTAGACCATATGGTAACTCTACTTTAAATTTTTTTTAAAAATCAGGTATATTATTTATTTATCTATGTCTTCATTATTAATCATTCAAAGGGGGAGATGCAGAGAGAACTTGTCATCGAATGGTCTGCTCTCCAAATGCCACTTGGGTAGAAGACAGCATGCAACTTGGAGCTGGTGTTTCAAGAGGGGCAAGTCTCGTGGCACTAGGCCCTTAGCCTGTGGTGTCTGTTTTAACTCCATAGTGTCAATATCAGAACTGAATAACTGGACATGTGTTTGGAGTCTGGGAGCTCTGGGAAGGGAATTTTAGTGTCAGAAAAGAGCCCATTAGCTTTGACCAGAAACAAAGACAATGCTTTGGAAATCGCTCTGTGATGGCCACAGTGCCATCTTCCCTGCCTACAAGCTCTCCTGCTCTGCTCCTCTCCCAAAGGGCAGAGCTTCCTCTGTCTATGTGAGTCTGGTCAGTATTTATTCCCAAAAGCACATGGAGTGATGCTATGCCTATCTTAGGTAAACCTCCACTTGGCCTGGTAGCTGCCTCTCCTTGTCCCTGCCCCTGGGGCCTGCCCTTCTCGGAACAACATGCCACCCTGGGAAAAGCTGGACTCGGTGTGGAAAGGCCACACACAGGCATGCCAATTGACATCACTCAATGCAATCACTGGTGCTTGCTTAGTCCACATACTGTGATGGCTAGGCAAAGAGGGATGAGGACACTTCAAAAACTTTGTGAAAAACAGAAATTAAAAAGTAAGTTTCATGTTGGTGGGAAGGGAAATCCATGAGTTTTCTTTTTTTTTTTTTTTAATAATACACACTTTGGGTGAACTTTTTGAAGACTTGTGTTGACTGTCTATTCTAGGAGAGCCTTCACATATAGGACTCAGTCAACATCTGACTTGCACTGCCAGAAGCAGGAACCCTCCAATTAAACCCTGTCAACCCAGAGCTCCCTAAGAGACAGCCAATCACTGCTGCTTTCAACTAGCACTTGTGGGTATTCTGTCCTGTAACTAAAATTTTCTAGCCAACTTTTTTTTTTTCTTTCTCATCTCAGATCCTGAAGTGGGGCAAGAAAAAGAGGTGGTATTTATTACATCTCCCTCAAATCTCCAGCAGCAGACTTTTCAAAAACAAACCAGAAAGTTCTCCAGGACACAGACTGCAGCAGAAAGTCACAGTGGGGTAAACCAGATGCTGTTTCCAGTGCTCTAGCCCCTAGCCTGGCAATGGTTTCTATATATATATTCTATTCTTTCTGAAAAGAAAAGAGCTTTACTCATATGCAGCAAATGCATAAGGAGAAAGGCCCTGGAATGAGGGAGGGTGGCCGGCAGTGCCAGCGGCTTTGTCTCCTTCCTCCCACCCGAGTTGGCCATCGTGGCCACCTCAGAGCAAAGGTGCAGAGAGATGCTGCAAGTGGTGTCTGCCAGCTCGTAGCCTTCTCTGCCTGACTCCAGCCTTATCAGAGGAGGGAGTGTAACTTTCCAAAGCATTGAAGGCTGGTGAGGCTGGTGGGAAGGAGGGTAGATGGGTGGAATCAGCCTGTTGAGCTACTCTAAGTAATCCGGCCACCCTGCATGTCATCATTTACTCTACGGAGGGGAAACATATTGTGGGTTTTTTTTTTTTTTTTGAAGTTAGGACTTGAGGTTGGTGCCTAGTTTTTAAAAACTTGTTTCAAACTCCACTTTTCTTAGGATGTTTCTCCAAATGTAGCAGCTTACGTGGACCATTGCAACATATACAATAGCCAACAGAAGTTAATTTTAATCATACAGTTGGTTCCTTTTTAAACATACAATTTTGGGGAACTGCTTTGAGCTTCTAGCAAAACAAGTATATCATACAATAATGCCCATGACCAACGTGTGAATTTGGGTGCTCTCCTGTCTGTTGTTATAAATGGTCTTTAGGTAGCAAATTAAAATGGAGAAAGCCATCCCACCTTGAAAAGTTTTCCTGTTCGTCACAATAAAGTTCTTTAAGACCCTCATTGATTCGTTCTTGTTCCACAGCAAGCTCTTCCTGTTCTTTCACTTTTCGCTGCACTAAAGAAGCAAAAAAAAAAAAAAAAAATTTAAATTATTTACCAAATGACTTTCTCAAATAAACTGGCTCAGTTTCTGGGACACCAAAGCCATATCACCTTTACAAAGAGAGAGCTATTACGGGGTCCCTGGTGGGGCCAGACAGGTAAGGTGGAAGGTGTGTTTTCCCCTCATGCTCTTGTGGGGTGGCGGCCCACAGATTTCTCTCCATCACTTTATATTGAAAGTCAATAAGCAGCCTTTTTTATCCTGGATTACCAACATTAAAACACTTGTCAATTTTCCTGAGGACAAATAGTTCTTTGGCTATTCATATTAATAAGAGAGCTAATTATAAAATAAATATTTTTAAAAGTATATTTTCTCTATAATAAACAACCCAACAGGAAAAAAGACCAAGGAACCAATTTAAAAAAGAATAAACACCAACTTGCCGGTATGCATCTGAAAAGTACCTACACTTGATTTTAAAATTGTTTTCACAAATGTGTCTGACATAACCCAACAGGAGCCAATAGGTTACATACAGAGATAGCAACCTGTTATGCTAAAATAAAGGTAAAACCATTAGAAATAATCTGAATATTCATTGGTTGCATTTAGATACATTTTAGTTGCTTTTTGTAATACATTTTAAGCAACCATTAAAAATCTTACAACTAGGAGTCTTATACATGGTAGCCTAGCAGCTAAAGTCCTCGCCTTGCACACAGCTTCATCCCATATAGGATCCATATTCTGTTGCAAAGAGCACTCCTGCGGAATCCAGTGGCATCCCGACAGCAGAGGTGCTGGTCTGCTGCTGCTTGGGTCCACCGCGTTGCACATGGTGACAGCAGAAATCCACAAGGAGCAGTTCACCCTCTCTGCAAACACTGTTTTGTGGTCAGGTGCTGCTTCAGGCCGAAGGAACGCAATGATATATGCAGGGGGAAATATGAAACAGGCTGTGGTGCAAAGATCTATGGTCCACTTAAGGTCCACTGAAGGCCCCATTTAAGGTGCTAACACTGTGAATCACCTAGCTGAAGGGTACAACGCAGTCCAGGGGTTTTTCAGAGCCAAGGCCACGTTCTGCACAGATTAACTTTCAGAAATCTTAAAACTATCAGAAGGATAACTTACGATCCTTTTAGGAAAGAGACACCTAGGGGATGGTGCTATGGCTCAACTGGCTAATCCTCCACCTCCAAGAACCAGCATCCCATCCAAGTGCCAGTTTGTGACCCTGGCAGCTCCACTTCCCATCCAGCTCCCTGCTTGTGGCCTGGGAAAGCAGTCGAGGGTGGCCCAAAGCTGTGGGACCCTGCTCCCATGTGGGAGACACAGAGGAAGCTCCTAGCTCCTGGCTTTGGATCAGTTTAGCTCTGGCCTTTGCGACCATTTGGGGAGTGAATCAGCAGATGGAAGACTTTTCTATCTCTCCTCTCTGTAAATCTGCCTTTCCAATAAAAAAAAATTAAGATTTATTTTATTTATTTATTTTCTTATTGGAAAGTCAGGAGGAATGGAGACGGCTTTGGAAGCAAAGAGAGCCTGATTGGGGGATACGGGGGGGGTGGGGGCGTGTAGAGCATGTCTGTGTCCCACTCCGCACTGTTCTTAGAGTCCTAAGGCATGCAGTGCGCAAACGACAGACTGCTCCTCTAACACTGTTCCGTCTTTACTTGTCTATTATTTTTCCCGTGAACAAATAGATTTGTTTTATTTTATTGTATTATCGGAAAGACAGATATACAGAGAGGAGAGACTGAGCCAATCTAAAGCCAGAAGCCAGGAGCTTCTTCTGGGTCTCCCACATGGGTGTAGGATCCCAAGGCTTTGCGTCATCCTCTATTGGTTTCTTAGGCCACAAGCAGGGAACTGGATGAGAAGTGGAGCAGCAAGGTCACAAACCAATGCCCATGTAGGATCTTGCTGTATGCAAAGTGAGGCTTTAACCTCTATGCCATTGCGTTGGGGGGATGGGGTGGGGTAAGGGAACAATTAGATAAGATTTGCAAAAGTGAGGTACTTACTTTAATTCTCTTTGGATCCCCTTGGTATGACAAACACTTAACCAGCATTTTGATTATTACTTAGGTAGAATTAAGGGCCACCTAAATGCCTTGTAACCATAACTCATGTCCTTACACTTTTCTTGGAGTTGGAGTTTCCTGGTACACATGACCTCCTGCAGGAGTTGTTTCCTTGCCTCCTTTTCAAGCCTCAGCTGCCTGTCCCTCTGGGCCAGCTGCTTCTTCGCCTCCTCCTCTAACATCCTGTCTAACTCCTTCTCCTGGGCTTTGTCTTCTTTCCGCTGCTGTGCCAGGTATGTGAGGTAGATCTTCTGTTCTCTCATTGTTTCTGCCTGCATAACACAAAACTTGATCCATGATGTGACAAGGTTTTAGGTGTGATCAGACTATTAAGAATGAGCGTGAAAGCACCCTTAAAATACAATCCCAATCTACCAGAGCCACAATATTTGCAAAATATGGCTAAGGCTTACTGAAAAAAATACCCTAGCTGATGTTGGGTGGGCAGCAGATGGCTGCTGAGGCCAGAGCCCTGTGTGGAGTTGTGCTGCCCTATTCTTTGGCATCTGTTAAAAATATTGGAAAACTCACTTTTGGTTAAATGAATTCAGTGTTTCTCCAAGCAGCATTCACCTGACATTCACTTGGATAAAGACAGATAAAGGACTTCAGTCCTGACAGGAGCTGTCCCTACTGCAGATGCAGCATTGAATTTTGGACCGCCAGTCACCTGATACTCAACAACAGCAAATCTCAATCTTAACTAGGCTTTAATGACTTGAAAAGTATTGAGTCATTCCGCCCCACCTCCCCCAGTCCTATTTAATGTAGAGATTTGTGAGCCCCCAGGGTGGACAACCATGTACTGTTTTCCAGCGGATGTGTTTCAGTGGGCTGTCACCAACGGCAATAACGCTATGGCAGCAATGAGTTCACCTATCACTCAGGCTGTAGTTACCAGGGCAGAAACTGAACAAGATGAATCTGGATTGGCTTGTTGTGCCACAAAGCTAGAGAACTCTCCAAAATGAGGTAATATTGAAAAGGAAAATTGGGCCCGGCACGATGGCGCAGTGGTTAAGGTCCTCGCCTTGCACGCCCAGGACCCCATATGGGCGCTAGTTCTAATCCTGGGGCCCCGCTTCCCTTCCAGCTCCCTGCCTGTGGCCGGGGAAAGCAGTTGAGGATGGCCCAAACTTTTGGGACCCTGGAAGAGGCTCCTGGCTTTGGATCGGCATAGCATTGGCTGTTGCGCTCACTTGGGGAGTGACGGAAGATCTTCCTCTCCTCGCTGTATATCCGCCTTTCCAATAAAAATTAAAAAAAAAAAAAAAGAAAATTTAGGATAGAGAAATTTAATTTTCTGTATTTTGCTTGCTGAGAATAGCTGAATAGGACATCTCTTGGTAAATGATTAAGTTTAACTAGGACTCAGGATACAAGTACAAAAGTGGTCTTGAGATAGGCATCTCAGGAGGAAACAAGATAAAAAATCGTGAGGAGACGGAAAGTGCCTGACTTCTCGATAGAGGCTCCAAAGGTCTGAGAAAAGCAAACTCAAGGGAAACTGTAATAAGGAACTGAGAGGAGCAGCAAAAAAGCCCCTAGCTTTATGGTTTTATGGTTTTAACCTTTACCCTTGGTGCAAGTGATTTTTTTTAAAGATTTATTTTTATTATTTTTTTATTGGAAAGACGGATATACAGAGAGGAGAGACAGAGAGGAAGATCTTCCGTCCGATGATTCACTCCCCAAGTGAGCGCAATGGTCGATGCTATGCCAATCCGAAGGCAGGAGCCTCTTCTGGGTCTCCCATGCGGGTGCAGGGTCCCAAAGCTTTGGGCCGTCCTCGACTGCCTTCCCAGGCCACAGGCAGGGAGCTGGAAGGGAAGCGGGGCTGCCGGGATAGAACCAGCGCCCATATGGGATCCCGGGCGTGCAAGGCAAGGACCTTTAACCACTTGCGCCACCGCGCCGGGCCCCGGTGCAAGTGATTTTAAAATGCTGTGTAATGCTGTGTAAGTGATTTTGGCCTATAAAAAGAATGCTGTGTAGTGGCTCAGGGCTGATGTGCCTACCCTCCTGCATGAGGAACTGGCCCCAGCCCCAGCACGCTGGTACCTGAATAAAGCCTCATGCGTTTGCATCAAGTCTTGTCTTTGCTGATCATTGGGGGGATTGGGGAGACTCACTTTCTCGATAGACGGTAAGGTCGTCCCCACTTCGGGGTGCCTTACAATATCAAAATGGGGTAATAAGCAAGCAGCAGCTAAAACACTGAAAATCCTCAGTCATTAGGCAAATGCAAATTGAAACCGTAACAAAAAAAAGAGTAATGAATATGAGCAAAATTGACATTTTGAGATTTTGTTTTTAGAGTCCATGTCTATACTCTTGAAGAAAAGTGGCTTTTCTACTTCCTACTGGTTCACTTCTATATTTAGCAGAGGGTTAAGCCTGTGGTGACAGAGAAAACTAAAAGCATGTCATTGTAAACACTCTCAGCAAAACAAGAAGAGGGCGAGTGAGTTGGCAAGCAGCACCGATCTCCAGAAACTGCATTCACGTAGAACATGAAATGTGTTCCCTTTATTTCCATTTAAAAAGTAAAAAAGAAAAAATTGAGATAGTCCTTCAGAATACTGGGATGACTAAAACAAAAAAGACAGACAACACAATGGTTAATGAGTGTGTGAAGAAACTGGGAGGAATGCAAAATTATACATTTACTGTGGAAAACAGCAGTTTCTCAAAAGCCCAAAGAATAACCTTATGACTCAGTAATTCTCCTCCAATAGACCCAAAATAAATGAAAACATCCACATAAAACTTTGTAACATGAATATTCACAGTAGCATTAGTCACAACAACTAAAATGTGGAAACAACTCAAATGTGTTCCGACTGACACAGGGATAAACAGTCATGAATACATGCACAAAATGGACCATTATAACGTTCACGCAAAGAAACGAACAAAGCAGGGATGCATAGTGTCACATGGATAAACCCTGAAAACAAGAAGGCAGGTGAAAGAAGCCAGCCAAAAGGGGATGTAATTCATTTATAAGACAGTCCAGAACAGGGAAATCTACAGAAACAAGCTGGGCAGGCTCCTGGGTGGGGTAGATAAGTGTGACTGGGAATAAGAAAATGTTTTCGAGTGGATTATGGGGGAACCTGTACAGAACTGTGGGTACATTAGACACCATCCAGCTGTGCATGCTGTCAGTGAGAGAACCGTATGTGAGGTAAAATGCGTATCAATGAAGGTGTTAAAATGATTCAATAGACAACCAAAAAGGCAAAAAAAAATTAAATACACACATTAACCCAAAAAATGGGCAAAAGAGTTGAGGACACATTTTCACTTGAAAGGATAAACAGGTACCCAAACCATCCATAGTGAGGGACCATTACGCATCTCTCAGAATGACTGCAGTCCAAACTGTGACCACTCCAGCTGCTGGTGAAGATGTGGAGAAGCACCCACGTGTGGCCAGCGTGAGTGTGAGTTGGGGCAATGACTCTCAAAGCACTTTCATGGTGTCTTTAATAAACTAAACAAACAGGAATCCTGTGACCACAATAGCCTTCGCCTTTCCAGGCACTTATTCCAAAGACACCAGCATCTGTGTTCATACAAACACTGGTGTCCCAAAGTGCCCAACAGCACTGCTCAGAAACAACACGAATGTCCTTCAATAAGCTGAGTGTGTGAGCTGCCCGCCGCCAAGCCCGACTGTGACTTTCACTCAGAAGTAAGAGGAGAAAAGTATTTTTATCTAGTGACAGACAGATACAAACATTTCAATGTCCAGAAAGCTACACTGAATGAAAATTAACTTACCCCCAAGAGTTATATATTCCACGATTCCCACCCTTCAAATAACAAAATTATAAAAATAGAAAATAACATAGGCTGCCAGAGGTTAAGAAGGGGGTAGGGTGAGAAAGCAGGTCCCAACCAGAGAGATTCTTGTGATCATGAAAATGCCATGTGGTTTGGTCATGTTAGGTCGGCATCCTGCCTGTGGCATTGCTCCACAGTTTTGCAAAACATGACCACGAAGAAGGGAAACTGAAAGAAGGCTGCAAGAAAGCTCTCAGTATTAGTCATTAAGGAAGAAGAGGCAGGCAGGGTGGGAAGTATCATTCCACTCTTGGAATTGTAGCTATGAATTAACTACATGAAATCTGTTCTCTTTGTAGGAGCAAAAATAAATTAATTCAAAAAAACACTGCACGTGAATCTAAAAGTATGCCAAAGAACACAATGAAAACAGAACAAAACAAAATCCTGGAGGAAATACACAGACCCTTTAAAAGTTCAGTATAAATTCCAAAGCTAGGAGGAACCAAACACATACTAAATACCTTTCTCTGCTCTTTCTGCCTGATGAAGTTTTACAAAGCCTGTAAGAGCCAACTCAAAGGCTACTTTCTCAGGGACATCTTACCCAAGTTCCAGGTGTCACGCTCAGCAAGTGTCAGGATCACTCAGGCATGCTGGGTAATACACAAGATTTTAACTTGCAGAATCTGATGCTGAAGACTGTGGGTTGTTGTTTCTTTTAATTTTTATGTATTTATTTAAAAGTGTTACAGAGAGATCACTCTTCTGTCCTCTGCTTTGCTCCCTCGATGGCCACAACAGCCCGGGTTGGGGCTGGCCAAAGCCAGGAGCTTCTTCTGGGTCTCCAATGTGAGTGCAGGAGACCAGATATCTGGGCCATCTTTGGCTGCGTTTCCCAGACACATTAACAGGGAGTTGGATCAGAAGTGGAGCAGCCTGGACAGGAACTGGCACCAGACAGTGGCTTCACCATTAAGCCACTAACACTGCCCCCACCAGCACCCCACCCTGCCAACACCATGCCCAGACTGCCATTTGCAGACTTGCATCCAGGAGCACTGTCAGCCTCATGACCATCATCCACCAACCCAGAATTCAACAAGGCATCTCACCCAGCTCTGTCTCCCATCCAAGTACTAACCAGGCTCAACCCTGCTTAGCTTTCGAGATCAGATGAGATTGGGCGTGTTCAGTGGGGTATGGTCATAGATCCCACCCAGCTCTGTAAGTGGGCACCAGATAAACGTCTTACTTTTTTTTGCTGCTTCTTCTCAGCCTCTTGCTGTAAGTCTTGCAGGGCTCTGTGTATGAGCTTTTCGTCCAAGTCCTGCTGTTCTCTGTATTCCTGCTGAATGAACGCTATCCTCTCTTCCAGGGCTTTCTGCAAAACAGCCCGCATTTCCTGCTTTTTCTGCTGCTTCCTGAGTTTGTCCTGCTCGTTCTCCAGTTTAACCTGTGCTCTCTCCTGTTCCTGAGATGGACCAGTGATGGAAGATAATGCATCAGCACAGTAGGACACTGTATGCATTATATACATTTTAAGAGGTAAGAACATTTTAAAGAAATGTACATGCAAACTCCACAGTCATGGGTTCAAGGAGCTAGAATAAACAAAATTCGCCTTTTTTGTTGCTGGGTTAGTGATAAAATACGACTCTCTGTGGTATTGTGAAGTTGTGGCCATGGGGCACGAAAATCTAATAAAGGTCAAAGATAAGGTACATTTAATCCCAACTCTGATCTCCTACCACAACTCAGTACAACAACCTTCTAGACTCTGCATAACTGCATTTGGACACGTAACTAGGCAGCAAGAAGCGGCCAAAAACGAATGAGCGCAGGTGCTTGGATCAGTTGAACAGCTGAGGCCAGCAAACTGCTCCACACCCTGGGAGCCCCAACCTCTGTCTCCCAACACACAAAAGGCCCTCACCACCAGGCGCGCCTCCTCTTCCTTTTGCCGCTGCGCCATGCGCCTCTGCGCCAGGACACCAGTAATCTGCGCCTTCAGCCCCAGGCGCGTGTTCTCGGCCAGTTCCCTCTGGCGTCTGGCCTCGCTGGCTTCCCTCCTCTCCTTAGCCAATCGGTCCTCCTCCCAGAGCTTGGAGAACATCTGCTCCTCTACCAGCTTCTGCCTCTTGAGCTCCTCATTGAACGCCACCTGTGCTTTCCGCTCCTCGCACACTTTCTTCTGGTGGTCGCTAAACAATTCCGAGCGAAGTTCGTCACAGGACTCTCTACGAGGGAAAAGCCGCCTTTCATGATGCACCCGGGTGCACAGACACACAGCGAGTGTAGGAATGAAAGCCAGAGACCTGGAGGGCAGCCACGTGAACCACGGGAATTCGTGCACATGGCGACGCGATGGGGGCAGGTGCAGGCACTGCAATCGAGCGGAGCTGACTGCGGTTCCCATGGTCGCATGTGAGGCTGTGACTGGACACAGAACCTCTGTAAGCAGCCTTCCCTGTGTGTAGAATGGCAGCTTTTCAAGGGCCTGCTAAGCATCAGTGTCAATGGATGTCAATGCCTGGGAGCTAAGAAACAGTAATTGACATTACTATTGTAGAGGAAAGACAAAAGCAGTGGGTACTTGGTGGTTTTTCAACTGAATAAAGGGCTTGATTAGGCCCTGGCATTGAGGCACAGCAGGTAAAGCCACCACCTGCGACACTGACATCCTACATGGATACCAGGCTAAGTATTAACTGCTCCATTTCCAATCCAGCTCCCTGCTAATTATGTGGGAAAGCAGAAGACGGCCCAAGTACTTGGACCTCTGTACCCACAGGGGAGCTTCTGATAAAACTCCTGGCTTTGGCCTGGCCCAGCTCTGCCCATCACAGCCCTTTGGGGAGTGAAGCAGCTCATGGAGCATCTTTGCCTTGGTCTGTCCATCTCTTTCTATCTCTTTCAAATCAGTAAATACAATCTTTAAAAAGAAAGGGAAGTGGATGGGAGGGGGAAGGGAAATCGCTCACCAGAAGACACCAAGGCCATGTCGCTGCAGCTTTGTACCCCCACAACCCCACCCATGAATTCCTGGCACAGCCCCATGACCTGGTCATGCCCAGCTGATGCCACAATCCTTGCCAAGGGTTTAGATTCCATCCATTCAGTCTTAGTAAGATTTTTTCAGAAGTACTTCACTGAGCTCATTTTTTCCCCCCAAGGACTGTGATTTTAGAATTACTTTGGGGGTAGTTTCAAACTCCCAGGCCTTCTCTTTCCCCCTCTCTCCCTCCCAGGGCTAGGGAAGTAATTCAGATATTTGGGGGATGGCACCCAGATATCTATACCCAGGAGGCTGTGGCAGATAGTAGGTATGGGAACCTTTTTTTGGAGTTTATAATATAATATTTATAAACATCAGGTCCACTGGCTTTACTTTTTCAAGTTATTTTTAAAATATTTATTTGGAAAGCAGGGTTAGGAAGAGAAAGATCAAAAAAGTTAGATCCTGGTTTTTCAATCAAATCCGTGGGAGCCTGCACCTGCATGAGAGAGCTGGAAGCAGCTCCCGGCTCCTGGCTTAGGATCAGCTCAGCTCCTACCATTGTGGCCACTAGGGGAGTAAACCTGTGGATGGAAGATTCTGTTTTTTCTTCTCTTTATAAATCCTCCCTTCCAATAAAAACTAAACCTATCTTTTTAAAAAAATTCATATTTTTATTAGAAAGGCAGGTATAAAGATAGGAGGAGAACAGAGAGGAAGATCTTCCATCCAATGATTCACTCCCTAAGTGGCCACAACGGGCAGAGCTGACCCAATCAAAGCCAGGAGCTTCTTCCTAATAAATCTCCCACATGGCCACAGGGTCATAAGCAGGGAGCTGGATGTAAAGGGGAGCAGCTGGGATTACAACCTACACCCATATGGGATCCCAGCGCGTTCAAGGCGAGGACTTTAGTTGCTAGACCATTGCACCAGGCCCAAACCTATCTTAAAAAAAAAAAAAAGTATAGCCCTTGTGAAGATGCTTGAATTGTTAGGATTACATGAGAGGATGAGGTCTGCACTCATACCGATGTGAGTTAAATGCTGCCAGGGGATGAGCACCGTTGGGTGGCAGTTAGTTAGTCACTTCCCTGACAACGCTGCATCTCCTTAAGAACCGGAACTCAGGAGGACACTTCTTCCCCAGGTCCCATCCTCCCCCTGGTGGTGACTCCATGGACACATAAGCACATCCACTAGCAACAAATGGTAACCAGCAGTTGTTCAGATCCTGTGGAGGCTGCAGTAAGATAACAGGAGCTGAGATTGCTAGGATACCAAAAACCAACCCCGAACCAAAACAAACCAAAACAAGAAAAACACTGTAACAGCATCCCCACCTCAGAGTAAAAGGAACTGAGGCTCAGGCAGGGGCTGGTGCCATGGCTCCTCAGGTTAATCCTCCACCCTATGGCACACCAGCATCCCATATGGGTGTCAGATTGTATCTCAACTAATCCAGTTGCCATCCAGCTCCCTGCCTGTGGTCTGGGAAAGCAGCAGAGGATGCCCTGAGTCCTTGGGACCCATGTAAGAGATCCAGAAGAAGCTCCTGGCTCCTGACTTCAGATCAGTTCAGTCCTGGCTGTTGTGGCCATTTAGAGAGTGAACCAGCAGATGGAAGATGTCTCTCTCTCTGTAAATCTTCCTCTCAAATCAAAATAAATAAATCTTATTTAAAAATAAGAAAGAAAAGGGCCATAAGGGTCCCTGGAGATCAGCGTGGGTACAGTAAGGATGCGTGGGTTTGCTCAGGAAGTGCATCAGAAGCATAGGTGGTCAGCTGCCAAGGATCAGGACACCAGGCAAGCTGACAGCAGAGGTGAGGGAACCCGGCACGTGACCAGCACAGAGCAGCCTGTCTCACGTGGAGCTGCCATTCCAGTTGCAAGGCACAGTTCACAGCCAAACGCAGACTGCATTAGTCAGTGACATGGAACCCAATTACCAAGACTCAAAGGTGCCCCTGTCAAGGACATGCTCCAGAGGACACAGGTCACTGTAAATTAGCATCCTTTGATCACTTCAAAATATACCAACTTCAGATGCTGGGTGTATTCCTGACTTCATTACCTGAATTGCTGCTCCAGTTTCTCAGCCACAAAGTCCTGTCTCTCTTTTTCTTTCTTCTCCTTTAACAATCTGGTTTTCTCTCTCATTCTATCTTTTTTCTCCTCCATGGTTTCTTGTTTCATTTGCATTTCAGCAAAATACTCATTTTCTTCAGCTGCTAAAAGTTCACGTAACCTGAAACAAGCAAAAAAGAAATAAAACCATCATGCCATAGGCATTATTATGCTGTGTTCAATGTCAGAATTATCTAGCCAATCATAAGTTTTTAAAGATTTATTTATTTTTATTGGAAAGCCATGTATATAAAGAGAAGAGACAGAAAGAAAGATACTCCATCTATGACTCACTGCCCAAGTGACCACAACAGCTGAGCTGATCTGATCCGAAGCCAGGAGCCTAGAGCTTCTTCTGGGTCTCCCACATGGGTGCAGGGTCCCAAGGTTTTGGGTCATCCTCTACTGCCCAGGCCACAAGCAGGGTGCTGGATGGGAAGCAGGGCTGCTGGGATTAGAACCGATGCCCATATGAGATTCTGGCTCATTCAAGTGAGGACTTTAGCCACTAGGCTACTGTGTGTCCAGCTCCATAAATTTTGTAAGAATGAAAATTGTAGTCTTTCTTCAGATAAGACCAGGTGCCATATTTACAGCAATAATGAGAGTGAGCTTGCCATATTCAATTTGATCACATGCAGACATAATATCTAGCAAAACATAAGTAAAATTGACATTTTAATTAAGAGTAATGGAACAGAATACAGCTTTCCTTCAAAACATAGGTTATCACTAGTAGAATTATTAACAAGCAGTAGGTATTGGTTTGAACATGAGTATCTTCAGCCATGATACTTACTAAATTTTTAAAAATCATTTTGAAAGACAGCAAAAGAGAGACAGACACACAAAGAAAATTCTTCTAGCTGTTGGTTCACTTCCAAAAGCCCACAACATCCAAGATTCCTCAAGCAGAAAGTGGGAGCCCACAACTCCATCTAGGTCTCCTACACAGATGGCAGTGACCCAAATTGAGCCACCACTTGCTGCCTCTCAGTGTGTGCATTAGGAGGAAGTTGGCTTGGAAACAGAATGAGGACATGAATTCAGGCACTCTAATCTGGGATGTGGGCTTCTTGACCCCTGCGCCCAGGCTTGATTTTTGACTGGTTAGTCCTAAACTATGGTTCTGACAATGCTTCGATGTCTGCAGCACTGGGCTGGAAAGCCTTACTTATTCCGTCTCTCTTCAGTGTTGATGATGAAGCCTTGCATGGCATCGTTGATCCTTGCCTGTGCAAGGCTGTCCCAGAACTTGCGTTCATGGTGCTGCTCCCACTCAACTTTCAGGCGATCGCGATCTTGGGACTTGATGGCAGCCAAGATGGCATGCTGCTCCTGATGGCTGTACTGGATTCTCTCTAGACGCTGCTCTGCCACATGGCCTTTGGGAGGCTTGGCTCTCTGCAAACAAAGACAGTCACCCACACATGATAAGCTAAACATCAATGGCAGACTTTTAATTCACCTTGACTTATACCAATGCTTCTACCAAACAATATGTGGGATGTGTATATAAATACAAACGTATATAAACCCAGATATCCTGCTGCTACTGAAATCAGCTTAGGCACACCCAAGGAATGACACCTTCAGTTATCTACATCTATACCTAACATGCCATCCAATCAGTCTCAGGTAAGGGATTCTGTTCCATGGAGGCTATATTCCTATTCCTGAGAAATCCATTATACATTGGAAATGTCATAAATCAAATATACATGAATAGACCTAGCCTCCCCAACATGGTGGCTGAGAAACTAGCACACTGTAGGGCACTGCAGCTTGAGAAGGGATTGGATCACACACTGCTGGTCTGGAAGAAGGTCGAAATTCAAAATCTGAAGTGTTGTTTACTACTGAATGTGTGTTATTTTCACATTACTGAAAAGTCAAGAAATCCTAAGCTGAACCATTTTGTTTTAAAGATTTATTTTTATTGCAAAGGCAGATATGCAGAGGAGGAGAAACAGAGAGGAAGATCTTCTGTCCGACGATTCACTCCCCAAGTGACCACAATGACTGGTGCTGAGCTGATCTGAAGCCAGGAGCCCAGAGCTCTTCCAGGTCTCCCATGTGGGTGCAGGATCCCAAAGTTTTGGGCCATCCTTGACTGCTTTCCCAGGCCACAAGCAGGGAGCAGGATGGGAAGTGGAGCTGCCGGGATTACAACTGGTGCCCATATGGGATTCCAGCATGTTCAAGGTGAGGACTTTAGCCACTAGGCCACGGCACTGGGCCCTGAACCATTTTGTTTTAAAGATTTATTTTTATTAGAAAGGCAGATATACATAGATGAGAGACAGAGAAGAAGATCTTCCATCAGTTGATTCACTCCCCAAGTGACCTCAGTGGTTGGAGCTGAATCAATCTGAAGCCAGGAACCCAGAGCTTCTTCTGAGTCTCCGACGTTAGTGCAGGGTGCAAAGGCTTTGGGCCATCCTCGGCTGCTTTCCCAGACCACAAGCAGGGAGCTGGATAGGAAGTGAGGCAACAGGGATCAGAACCAGTGCCTGTATGGGATCCAAGCACATGCAATGCAAGGACTTCAGCCACTAGGCTACCATGCCAGGCCCAAGCTGAACCATTTTAAACTTGTGACCATCTGTATTTGTAAAATTCTGAATAAAAGTTGAAGGAATCACAAAGATAAAAAATATTAATGTGACTAGAGGTTACCTAGTCAAACCCAGGGATGTTAATTAGTTTACCCACAGTGCTGCACAGAGGGAAGAGCTGGGCAGAACAAGAATTTGAGATCTTTGGAGAATCAAGATGGCGGAATAGGGTAAGGACACGTTTAAATGGACGGAGAAGCATTTAACCAGAATGAAGCAGAGAGGACATATTTCAGGAAATACGAAAGGACAGAACAACAGCAGAGGGGTACCTAGAGACTGACAGACACAGGAAAGCAGCGGGCACAGCAGTGTGGTGTTGCAGTGAATGATATTCCAGCACGGCGATCTAAACTCCACCAGCAGCCTGAACTCCACCAGCAACCAGGTCCGTGTGGCACCCAGACCTAGCGTCCAACAAGTTCTGACAAGATCAGCGTCACCAACAACCTTACTAGATAGTACACCTGGTGTCTCTTTAATCCTGGAAACCACTCCAACCAGAAGAGGGAGAAAGGTTGCAGAGACAACAGTGCAGCCTCAGCACGGTATCACAGGAGGTGGAGAGTGGTGAGCCAAGAGCTGGGCTGTGGAGACCACGGTGGATATCTGACATAAGAAGCCAGACCTGGAACTCGCTGGAGGTTGTGGCACAAGTGGCTGCAAGCAAAAAGTTGTGTACCAACTGCGATAAGTAAAATCACATTGTAGACCTGTGGGTGACACAGCTTAGAAACCTGCCCCAAGAAGAAGACTCTGCTAACCAGAAGTACAATGATCAAGAGCAAAAGAAGAGACAAAGGCACAATGAATATTACTGAAAACTCCCCTGCAAAGGAGCAAAACCCTATGCCAACCTCAGAGTTAACTGAGGAAGACATTGAGAAAATGGGGCACACAGAATCCATAAGACTCATTTTAAAGATTCTGGTCAAAAATGAGAAGTTAATGCAAGAGTTCAAAGAATTTAAGGAAGCAGTAAAGGAAATCAAGGCTGGCATATCAGAAATTAAGAACACAGTAGAGCAAATTACAAGTACAGTGGAGAGTCTCCAAAATAGAATGAAGCAAGCAGAAGAAAAAATCTCAGAATTGGCAGATATCTCCTGTCACCAGGGGGAAGCAAACAAAAAGCTGGAAGCTGAGCTGGATCAGGCCAAGAAAAGTATTCAAGAATTGAAAGACACTATTAAGAGGCCAAATATAAGAGTTATGGGAATCCCAGAAGGTGCAGAAAGAGAAGCTGAGTTTGCAAATGTATTTAAGGAAATAATCAAGGAAAATTTCCCTAATCTGGAGAAAGAATTGGGAAACAAGATCCAGGAGGGACACAGAACTCCCAACAGGCTTGATCAAAAGCGATCTTCACCAAGACATATGATTATCAAGCTCTCTTCAATTGAACATAAGGAAAAGATCCTTAAATGTGCACGTGAAAAACATCAATTGACATATAAAGGAAGGCCAATTAAGCTCACAGGAGATCTCTCACAGGAAACTCTACAGGCAAGAAGAGAATGGAGTGACATATTCCAGATTCTAAAAGAAAAAAATTGTCAGCCTAGGATAACATACCCTGCAAAGCTTTCTTTCATCTTTGAAAATGAAATAAAATTCTTCCATAGTAAAGAAAAGCTAAAAGAATTTGCCTCTTCCAAACCTGCTCTACAAGTGATACTTCAAGATGTTCTCTTGACAGAGAAGAGGAATAGCACCTACCAAAACCAAAGGCAAACGGGAAGAACATCCCAGTAAAATGACAACAGAAGACTAAATCAATGAACAACCCATTCCTAAAATTACAGGACCAAAGTATTACCTATGTATATTTAACTCTGAATGTAAATTGCTTAAGCTCAATCAAACATTATAGATTAGTAGACTGGATTAAAAAACAAAACCCATCTGTTTATTGTTGGGAGGAGACACACTTCAACAAAGATCAGCGGAAACTCTATCACATGGGTTTTGTTGTTTTCTGTTGGTTTCATCTCTTTAAAACACTTTCTTCTGATTAAATCATTCAATGACTCGTAGATCATGCAGTGGCATCATTTTCTTCAAGAAGGTTCTTGCTTTTCACTTCTTCAGCTACACGTTGGATATTTAATAGCATGTTGTTTAACTTCTTGGTGTTGTTAATTTCTTTTTTCTTCCGGAAGTTGATTTTGTTTTGTGGCTCTTCATTTAAGGGAAGGTAAAGTAGTTGTGTAATGGAGACTATCATATCTAGTAACATGTCATTTAACTTCATGGCATTGTGAATTTCTATTTTTCTTTCTATTGTTGATTCTGTATCATGACTTTTCATTTAAGGGAATGTACAGTAGTTATGTAATGGAGACTAACAACCAGATGTGAGGATGCAGTGTGGTCGGCATCTCTGTTTCCAGACAAAGATGGACTTACAGTGAAACTGTTTATATTATATTTTGACAATAGGATTCTGGACTCTCTGCCATTGTCCATGCCCGCAATGATGAACATATGACTGAATATGAAGAACTATATGTTAATAATGATATAAAGGAACTGGGGGGGAGGGAATTGGGGAGGGGATAGGGGAATATGGAACTGTATCGTAAAATGATAGCAATAATAAAATGTGAAAAAAAAATTTGAGATCTTCAAATTTATGATCTTAAGCTTGCCACCCACTATCCCACATTATTTCTCAAGGGTAGATTCCATAGTTTCCAAAATACTTTCAATTAAAAGGCTAAGTATATGTGTGTATTATAGATGGAGAGAGAGAAGAGAAATGATGAAAAACACAACTAAATTAGAAGAAATCAAGGAAGGCAGGGAAGAAAGAGGGCAAGGAAGAAAAACAAAGGCTGGTGGAAGAACTTACTCCTATTTCTGTGGTTCTCAGATTTTTCTCACAATGGCTATGCTCTTTAAAAAAAAAAAAAAAGAGTTGTTTTTATTGGAAAGTCAGACATACACAGAGGATCTTCCACCCAATGATTCACTCCCCAAGCAGCCGCAATGGACAGAGCTGTGCTAATCTGAAGTCAGGAGCTTCTTCTGGGTCTCCCACATGGGTGCAGGGTCCCAAGGCTTGGGGCCGTCCTCAACTGCTTTCCCAGGCCACAAGCAGGGAGCTGGAAGGGAAGTGGGGCTGCCAGGACATGAACAGGCACCTATATATGATCCCAGTGCGTGCAAGGCAAGGACCTTAGCCACTAGGCTACTGTGTGCTGGGACCAATGGCTATGCTCTTGACATGTTGTAGTAATTTGAACTGCTGTCAATGTGTTGTCTTTACACAGATGTCAACAAAAAAACTGGAAATGTATGGACCAGCTGGATCCGTGTGAATAATACTTCATGGAATCACATTGACTTTTTCACTTCTACATTCCTAGCTTTGAGCTAGAAATACAGGATAAGGCCTAGCAGAGTCTGGTTCTCCACTCAGATGAAAGAATGAGAGGAAAGAAGGGAGGAATGTAGTTCTGGGTAAGCTCTCCTAAAGCCACCGTGGAATCCCAGGGTAGAACCTTGTGATTTCAGCAACCATATTGCCAAGTCCTCCTCAGGCAAGCACAGTAACAGATTTAACTCCAGAGACCAGACATGACCCTCTCGGTGACACCACCACTCTGGATTACTAGACTTCAAGGTTTAGGAGTTTATTACAGGGTATCATACTAAACACAGCTTGGTGTACTCTAGTTTCTCTTCAGATCATATAAATCTTTTGCCTTTTACTAAACACAGCTTGGTTAAAAAAAAAAAATCAGGGCTTGGGGTAACATATCGGTACCTGGGGATGTAGCTGTGCAAAGGCAAGTTTGAAGGGAGGGAGGAGAAAGCCGGTAATGTTGGGTGTTCCAATGGTTCATGCACTCCAGAATTATTTGGAACCTAGAGCCTGCTTGTTACAGGATTATTGCCTAGTATTTACAGCATTTTATGAGAGCACAGAGCGGGCTCTGGCAGGAAACCAACAGGAACTGGGGCTCTCAGGAGACATACAGTTGGGCCAGAAACCAAGCACCAAGGTCATGGACAATCACCTCCCATTGTCATGACAGGAACTGAGCTGAGGCACATTCTGGCTGGAGAGGAAGAGGAGCAAAGGGCAGTGAGAAACAGCCTTGCCTAGAAACCCTTCTAAAACAAGAGGACTTTGTGCCAGATGTGATCTCTAGACAAACAGGGTCTCACCTGGGCTTCTCCAACAACATGATTCCCCTTCAGGCAGTCCTGGCATTGCTTAGTATACCATGCAAAGTATATATGGGAAACTTTTAGTAGTTACATTTTAAAAAGTAAGAAAAAAAAACCACAGGGAAAATTAGTTCTACAGGCATGTTTTATTTAAACCAATATGTCCCAAAATAATATAATCATGCGATGTGTTACTGCACATGTCAAGGTGCAAGAGCTACTGGCTACTATACTGGCCATCACAGCCCCAAAACAGTAAAGGCAGGACACAGGATCTAACAACCAGCATGCGTTTTCAAGATCACTGGAGGCTTTTGTTCTAGCATCTCAAATCATACCTCTAGGACCACAGTTTAGTTTACTATCTTCAAGAACAAGGCCTTACAGCCAAAGGCTAATTCTCAACCCCTCACCAAATGTGTCAACCAAGTTCAGTCATCTTTCAGTCTCTATTTTCAAACTGTTCCGTGAGCTACCTTGACGTCTGCTCCTCAGGCACTCTGTGGGCAGTAGTTCCTCTCATTTTTCCCTCAGACATTACATTTCACTTTATTGCTTTTTCCTGGAACTCATGTAGAGTCCAAGCACCATGATTCTTTCCCCTAACTGATCTACGACTCTTAGCACACAGACCCACAAGGTATAGCAGTCGCAGCTACTCCAGCCTCTGCCCTTTCTGTGCAAATACTGCTGAAAGCATCAAGTATTCAGTGGATCTATTTAGGTCTCCAACTGGGTATCTTTGTTTGCTTTTTATTCCTAATTGGCCCCCAGCACAAGTCACAGCACCCAACAAATAGCCCCAGCCGCTGAACCCTGCATGCCTGCCTCACGAAGTCTGTCACCTTGAAGCCTGCAGCCCACTGCTGTCGATTCCAAATACTATGCACCATGGGCCTGGAGAAGGGCCAGCAGGTCTATAGGTCAAAAGACATTTATCTGTGCCCTTAACTCCCTCATCTTTATTCCACAGATTGTCCTCACCAATGGTGTAGCCCCCCACTCTCATCCACTGTGTGAATCTTGAACTTGTTCTTGCCTAAGCAAGCTACTTCCACATACAGAGCTGTCAGGGAAGGGCATTCCTCCAGGTCAACGTGTCCATCCCTGTTTTAACTGCCACATATTCTGTCCTGCAGCAACATGGGGATCCAAAGGCATCGAACACACACGTGTGGGGCTCTCAGCAGCAAGCAGGATCTCTTCCTGGCCTATTCCAACCACACAGCCATCTGCAGAAACAGCACTCAGTTCCTGGGGTGGACTGAACACAAGCGGGCTCTACAGCCACTCAGGACCTTAGTGCCTAATTCCCCAGACTAAGATCATTCAGCTCAGGAGGCAGCACTGCACTGTAGTGGTTCAGCCCACGACTGCGACGCAGGCATCCCATATGGGCACTGATTGGAGTCTCAGCTGCTCCATTGTGGTTCAGCTCCCTGCTGCTAAACAGGGTCCAAGTGCTTGGGGCCTTGCACCCATGCGGGAGACAAGAATGAAGCTCCTGACATTTGGCTTCAGCCTGCTTCAGCCATGCAGTCTTCTGGTGCGTGAACAAGTGAATGGATGATTTTTTTTGTTTCCTCCTAACTTTTAAACAAATAAATGAAAGATTAAAAAATTAAATAGCTGAACCCCAGCAGGTCCAGAACCCTTTCTTCCACACAAGGTGACAGACCTCCTTGGGGAGACCTGGAGCCAGAAGCCCCCAAGATCCAAACACCAATTCTCCAAATACAGAGTAAGCAGAGTGGCAGTGGGGAGGGGTGGTTGCCAAATGGGCAACCTTACCTCACTTTGAAAATTCACTCCACCACCAACCCCACTGGCTCCCCAGCAACCGCCCCTCAGGGCTCAACAGAACCACGAGACAGTTGCCTGAGCTTACCAACACCACCACTTTGGGAGTCGGGCCCCGGATCTCCCGCTGGACGATGCCAAATCGTTGGCTGTACATCTCAGCGTCCCCTCGGGATGTGAGCTGTGTGCGCCGCAGCCGCCCGTGTGTTAGGCAACCCGTTTCCACAGCGCCGCGGCCAGGTTGCCATGGTGAGGGGGGCGGAAGTCAGCCCTGTTGCCACAGGGTCACTGACGCTTGGCTGGCGACTTCCTCTGATCTGGCGGCCTTGGTTCGGCCTCGTGAGCCTCACCCGCCAACCAGAGCCCGGACCTCGCTCCTGCTCCCTCCTCCCTCCGGGCCTAATTCCAATCCCAGTTCCGGCCACTTCGGTTTATTTACATTCCCTGCAGCCTACAGCACCAGGAAGGTGAGAGGACACCCAGGGAAAGGCTGTTTTGTGCGATCTCTAGATTCTTCTTAAGATATCAAGAACCATCGCAGGCCAACGCTGTATTTGTGAAATTCTTTACAAATTGCAAGATATGTTCACACGGAACACCCCTCGAGACTCACAAATATTTTATACGGTCAACAGAACAGCAGGTACTGTCTTCACTTTACAGCTAAGACGATTCTGGCTCCAGGAGCCTAAGTGCCTTGTTACATCACCCAACCGGCCACCAGATTTAATAATTTTGCGACTACAACCGCGCAGACCGCGGCATGGGACAGGTGGCGCAGGCTGCTGGCGGGGAGACGTGGGAGGCAAATGAGTGGCCCCCACGTGGCCCGGCAAACACAGCCCAGAGGCCTGTTGGAGTGGAGGGTCACTGCGGACCAGGGTTGGGACAAGTTTGGGTAGTCGGTTTCTGAGGAGGGAACCTAAAACGGGCCCCCCAGATCAATTTCCAGTCAAGAGCAAGGTAGTTAACAGGTTACAAGTCGACAAGGAATGACACGTTGATGTTCCCACCCCAAGTTGGAGGTGAGGGCTGGACGTCGTCGGGGAACAGACGACCCAGCGGAGTCAACACGCATGTCCTTGCGTGGCCGCCACTGCAGCCTTCACCCCGGCAATCCACCTGCTGGTCTCAAAGGCCGCACCTTCCTAGATTTGGATCCCATTTTGTATTGCTGGTTCAGCTCTTCAGCCACAAAATAATCCTTGTTCTCTCAATAATCTCTTAATCATTCTTTTTTTTTTCCTCCTATAATGCTTCTTCTTCAACTTGCAGTTCAGTAAAATACTCTTTTTCATTTACTGCTAAGAGTTTGCGTAGCCTGAAAATGAAAAAGACAGATGTTAGGAGGCGGTCTGACTAGCCAGACCGCGTGTACTGATGGGGACTCCTTGATTTGCTGCTTGGTCCACGTGGTCTCCCACCCTGCACCCCCAGAGGAGAGACCCAGACTGGGCCGGGGAATGGTTTAGGGAGAGCCGAAACCCAAGGTGTACAGCCAGGAGGATCCCGTTGGAACGAGTTCCCGGAGGTGACCCGATGATGCCCGGGACGTCCCGGTGTCAGTCCGAGCTGGTGGTGTCTCTTCCCTTAGCAGACACCACTGGAACTGGCCCTGGTGCGGGTGGAGGCCAGGCTCCACAGCAGCCATGCCTGGGGTTGGAGGTCAGCTGATCTCCCAAAGGTCCCTGTGTGCCGACCACCCGCAGCCAGGCAGTGTGAACGCTCCGACGCGGGTGCCCCCCTGGAGGAAGCATCCAGAGGCAAGGTGAGCGAGGCCTGCTGGACACGCCACCGCCGGAACTGGCCACCAAAGGCAGTGTCCAGCCCAAAGTCTTCCAGCACGACTACCACTTACTATCCCAGCATTCCTCGGCGGTCAGCAGTAACCACCAAGACACTCCAAAAAAAAACACTAAGAATAAAAATCAGTACGTGTGACAATAAAAATCATTTTTAAACCATTTTAAGACAGGATAGCTTAGAGATATAAACTATTTGCAATTCTTGTTGTGCCCCAACAAGGTTCATATAAGTACTTTGTTCTTGCTTCCAGAACTGGTTCCATTTTTAAAATCCATGATAAAGTTGGAAATCCATTCACATAATATATATGATGCATTTAATAAATTTGCATGGACTTTTTTTTTCTTTCTTTTTGTGTTCCAGTATTAAGTACAGTGCCTCTCATGGGCTAGGTCATCAATACTCAAATGAAATGACACAAAAATAGCCAACACCAGCAAGTCTGCTCTGGGTGGGCTGGGCAGAATTTCTGTACTTGCTGGCATCACCACGGAATTCATGGTCTTCAGCTTTGCACTGATGTTGCTTTATCGAGTTATCCTTGGGTGAGTAGGGAGACCGTTGGGAGGCGATTCATGGTAGAGTGGCTGTGTCTTGTGGGCTAGGCTGTTTCCCACAACTCTCTTCCCTGTATGCTTCCAGTTAGTGGGGCCACAGGAGGCACTAGCCTGGGAACTGGAGGGCAGAAGTGAAGCAGCAGCATACTCTACGCGTGGAGGGCTGGTACAGTTCCTGCTGGCTCACCTCCTGGCCGTGGGGCAGCAGTCAGGCCCATAGCCAGGCCTACAGCTGCTCCATCCTCCCCAGGATCTCCCTCAAGCATGTCTCATTCGTAGGCCAGGTGCATACATTTACATGTGTGAAGACGGGCACCAGCTTCTTCTGCAGGGCACCCACATCATCAAAGCTGAGGGTGATGAGAGACTGAGAGGGGATCCAGGCCATCTTCGAGGGTCCCAGCTCGTCCTCGGGGGCTCCAATGTGTCCTCGGTCTCCCATACTTTACAGCCATCTTCCCTTCCCGACTGCCTGTCCTGCAGACTTCAAGCTCCAACATTAGATGCATGACAGCAGTCTCACAGAGACCGTCAAACCAGTTTTTACATGAGGTCAAATCCCTGTGATCCCTTACAGTCAAAACATACATCATCTTGGTAGTTCTACTGCTCTGGCTGTACTCTAACATACATGGTGACTACTCAGGTGTCAGAATGCCAATCAGGTATCAACAATGACCAGAATACCAGGGCTGGAGGGTAGGATTCTCAGAGGAAACTGAGCAGCAGCAGATGACCCAGTCCTGACCAAGGCTACCCGGGTAGGGCAGAGGGCTGTAGCATATAAGCACAAACTGGGAAATGGTCGATTCACATCAGAAGGAAGTTACAAGGCTGGGACAAGGGTAAGGCAAGAGATGGGATACAGACCTTAAGGAGTGCTCACTTGGTCCCCATCCTAGAAACTAGTTAAGTAACAAAATGAAAGATTTACTAGCTTTTGGCATTTTTATGAATGAAGAATTGGAGGGAGGTAGGACTTAGCCATGACTTGCCCCTAGGCAGTCCTGGTGGACATTCAGTCTGAGGGCAGGAGAAGGATGTTGTCAGGAAAAGATGAGTCAAGGCTTTAGTTCCAAAGGCTGCACTGGTTGAGCGGGAAATCATAGTAACCAGCAAAAGGGGAACAGCAGCAGACAGCCAGGACCACCCCCAAGGGTTGGAGGGACCTGCACAGCAGCTGGGGTAAGGGAAACAGCAGAAGGCAGCCAGGACCACCCCCAAGGGTTGGAGGGACCCTGCACAGCAGCTGGGGCCTGTTATGGGCCTTGTGTCTGCAGGACCAGATGCTCAGACCCCATCCACACTGGCACTTCCTACACCATGCTAGAGGTAGGAATGAAAAGGATTTATTATTGCATTTATCATTAACTGATTGTTTTTAGGTCACTGACAACTACAGTTCAGTGGCACAAACAGGGATTTTACAGCCTGGCTTTAATTCTTAGCTCCACCAATGTTAGCTGTTTGGCACTGGTCAAAATCATTTATTTGAGTCTTTGCAAAAATGGATAAAGTCAATGTCTTCTTAAAGACTGTTTCAAAGGATGAATGAACTGGGCTGCACAGCAGAAATTCACCAAACAGCCTTTCCTTTCCTTTCCCATTCACTCATGAATGGTATTCATTTGCTGTCTGTCTCTCTGAGGCAATGTTTAGGGACTACCAGGTCTCATCCAGGAGCCACTTCAAATTTAGGAAGACGGTGTGTTTTGTGGAGGCTTTAATTTTAATTCTCCATCCCCACCTCAGCTAAATTTCTCATCACTCTTGAGATATATACCGCCTTTCCACTTTCCCCACAGACTTACTGCAGGCCCGAGCAGGCCTGCTTCAGTGGAAAGTTTTTTCTCCTCCAAGGGTTAAATCACACACAAGCCCTGGAGCCAATCTATCATTCATCCCCTAGCAGACAGATCAGGGTTGTTGCTCATTAAATCAGTCTGTAACCATCATCTTGACTCCTACAGTCTGTAGAAGCCTCCAGTCTACTGCTTTCTAGCTCCAGGTTTTTAAGGTCCTTGGACCTAGAGAAGAGGGAACAGGTCTGTACGTTGAATACGGTTGGCTCTGTGCAACATGGAGAATCACAAATCATTTCCTACCATTCAGTTCCCCCTGATCCATCTCCCTTTAATTATCCCCTTTCTTTTCTCTCTTCTCAAAAACACTACTATTGCCAGCACAGCTCCTTCACTGCTAGCAGGAAATGATTTCACACACAGGAAAGCTGTTTCCAGGTAGCCTGTAGGTTCCCTGAAGCCAGGGATCCTGTGTCTCATGAAGCACCCTTACAGAAGGCTGATTTATTCACTGCTGTCCCACAAACTGCTGTGCACAACCAGCAGGAACTCAATCAGCACCTCTGCAATCACCTGGGGATGGTTTACGGCTTGATGTCCTGTTGCAACTGGATTACAGGAACACAGGAGTGCAAGTGCCTAGGCCAGCACTTAGGGACCTGTGGACATTCTGTGTGTAGGAGGCAGGGTTTGTATCCTCTATGCACCATCCATGTCCTTGGGGGCACCAACCCTTGATCCCATCACCAGACCTACTGGGACAGGGCTGCCCAACAGCCAGAACAGTTAATAATAATCTCAGTATGCTCAGAAAAAACTCAGGGACCCAACCCAAGCCCCTCCACAGAGGCTGCTCCAAGAAGCAAGGGCAAACCAGTGATAACACAGGTGCACGTATGCATGGGCTCAATTCACAAAGCCAGCCCAGCACCACCTGTGACCCACACACACTGTCATTCGGAGACAGGCAGCTGGCAGTTTGAGAGACACAAACCTGGCAACTCTGTAAAGAATGTACATATTAACTCCTGACCCTTCTGGGGAGATTGGCATCCCTTACCTTCTTGTTCTTCCAGATCTCATCATAGGGGCATCCCATCCCCTCGCCATCCCCTCAAGGACAGCCCTGACCTGGACACTACTGGGCTGGGTCTCAGAACAATTCTTTAGAGGCCTGCAGACTTCCCCACATTCACCCATTTATGATATCCAGCCCTCAGTGGATATGGGACCTTAACCTACCACTGAGCCATTCTGAAACTGTTAGCTGGTCTTTCAAAACTCAGGGCCCAGCCCATCCCCACCCCTCACTGTTTGGGGCACACCTTGGTAACCAGACAGCTGTGTCTCGGAAGCGGGTTCCACCCAGGCTGAAAATCTCCGTGATCTAGGGAAGAATTAACATCATGGGTGAACATGGCTGGAGGGGCTGAGGCAGACTCAGGTCAGGGTAGGGCATCCCCTTGCACTGACCACAGGTGTGCCAGCCCCTCCTGACTCTTCCTCAGGGGCCGACTTAGAGGCCCAGTCATCCTGGTTGTCCTCCTCCTTGTCCTCCTCAGGGTCAGGTGGCTCTTGCTTCACTGGTGGCAGGCCTGCGTCTACTGCCTGGGGGAAGTGGGAATGGCGGCAGTTAGAGGGGCAGGATTGACCCCAGGGAAGTTTCCATCAACCAACCTACCACAGTGCTGCCAAGTCCCACTTCCCTAATGGCTCAGCACACTATGTTCACTCTCTGCCTGCACACCTTTCCCATCCCCATCCTTCACTCATCTCCATGAGCCTGTTAGTGAAACAGCAGAGCAGGAACAGCCAGTTGCCTATGGAGGGGTGGTGTCTGCTGACTGGCAGGGTAATCCTGCTGCAAGGCTGCACTCAGCACACCTGTCTTCACTCTGTTTGCAGACCACCCCGCCACGGCACACAGGGCCCCCATCACTGCCCCACCTTGCTAGGGCAGCCAGGCTGCACTATGGGAGAAGTCAGGACAGCTGTGCCAGGTGTCCACTCTTCCTGGGCATCCACCTTCTCTTGCTTCACCTGGGTTAGGGCCACAGCCCAGCTCAGGCCAGAGCACTGGGCCTCCTGCAGGAGGGAGGATTGCAACTTGGTCTCAGCTCGCTTGCATGAGGATGGGCGGAGCTAAGAAGAGCAGAGTAAAGCGGGGCCCTCACCTGCGACACAGTTTCTGTGGAAGCTGCAGCAGGCCCTGGCACTTGCACAGGACTGCTGGCACCCTCCCGTAAAAACACAAGATCAGTGCCAGGAGGGGGCAGCACGAAGCCACCACCTGGTTCCTGCTTCATTGGTGCCTGGACACGGTCTGGTCGAACTGTGTGCGTTGGCAAGGAGGGCTTCCGAGTGGGGCCCAGGAGAGGTCGTCGAGCAGAGCCAGGTCTCTTTCGCCGAGGGTAAAGTGGAGGTGATCCTGCCCCCTCCTCAGAGCCTGACCCAGTGCTAGGCAGCAGCCGCTTCTGTAAAGAAAAAGGGTAGGCTATGGGCAAGTGTTGGAATGAGTGGCCACCTCCAACCTGCCTTGCTTACTGTGCCTGTTTATGCTGTTGGCTTCAGCAGAGAATGTACTCAACTGAGTCCTGCATCTGTAGGCCTGCTGGTGTCCTCAGCAAAGCCAATGTCACCGAGGCCCACCTACCCCAGCAGGCGCTGCTCATCTACAGCCGAACCCGGGAATCAACCCATCCACCCAGCTCGCCCAGGCACTGGACGTCAGGCCCAGTCCCCATCCACCCGGCACTCCCAGGCACCGGACATCAGGCCCAGTCCCCATCCACCTAACATGCCCAGCATGCCCAACACACCCAGGCACTGGATGTCAAGACCAGTCCCCATCCACCCGGTATGCCGAGCATAAACCTAGGCACCAGGATGTCTAACCAGGTTCCCATTCACGTGGCATGGCTAACACATCCAGGAACTGGGATATCTGGCCCAGTCTAACCCATCCACTGACCCCTCCTGTCCCACCCACCATGGCAAACTGCAGGCACTGGCGCCAACGACACTTCTGGCGCTTCTGGTTGCTGCCTCCAAATTTGGGCTTGTCACAGCAGAAGTCACAGCGGCCACAGTCCATCCTTCGTAGGCAAGCTGCACAGGCCCCACACTTTCGGTTCTGCCGGCGGTTCGTGTAGGGTTGCTGGGTAGGCAGGGGATAAGGGGAAGAAGTGGAGAAAGGACACAGGTGTGTGCTGTCACCAGAGCAAGAGGAGGCCAACCACAGCACCTGATCCCGTGTTCTCCCTGGCGTCTTCCGGCGCCCAGAGGAGCTGTAGTACTGAGTCCCTGTTGTGCTCCCTAGATGTTTTTGAATCCCAACTCCCCTAGGAGTTTATGGCCCTCAGTGATCTCCCATCACTATGCTGACTGTGTCTGCTGCTCCTACACACATCCCACTCAGTGGACTGGCTGCCCCCTATTAATTGGATCATCCTGTCTGCCAGTCCTGCATTAGCCACCAGTGATGGTTCTCCGGCCACCAGGCACTGTCACTGCTCCCTCCTAGCTCTTGCCCTACTACCTGCTCACCCCAGCCTAGTACTCATGCTTGTGCTTTACTGCCCCGCCAGACCAAGACAGAGTCCTGAGGCAGTCTAGATTTATCCAGGTCGCGTGAAGCCACTCACTAGCTCGTCCTCCTCTACACAATAGATGAGCTCGGCAGTTGGCGAGGGGGCCAGGGCTCTGGGGTGCTGCAGAGGCAAATGGGGCAGGGTCAGGGAAGGTACCGCGTAAGTTTGGGGTCATGCCTTCCCCCGCCCACTGGGGTCTCACCAGCTCTGGGGGTTCTGGAGGCCGCGATGGGAGAAGTGGAGGTGGTGGCTGGGCTCGGGAGTGTTTCCGGGCAGCCCCCTTAGCATCACGGCCTCCCTTATGGCGGCTGCGTTTACTCTAGGAAAGACCCAAAAGGTTGATTAGTTCTTAACGGTACCAAGCAAACAGGACTACCTGGAGTGCAGAAAGCATGCATAGGATAGGCAGGCAGAGTACAGAGTACAGAACTCACAGGAGGGGGGGCTACAGTCAGGGTAGGGCGTCGCTGACATCGCTGATGGTGACGACGGAGGCGGTGAGCAAGGTGCTGCCAGACAAAGGCAAGTAGGTGGGGCCAGGGACGTGAGCGTGGGGTGGAACAGAAAAAGAAGACATGAGGTGGGCAAGGCTAGGCTGAGGAAAAGCAGCAGCCACAGTGACAATTCTAACATCAGAAGGAGTTCCACCCCAGCCCTGGGCCCACCAACACTTGCTGTGCCGGCCAGACTCACCCGTAGGCAGCGCCGCTGGATACACCTCCACTGGCGCCTGAGCCCAGGACGGGGAGGGCGAAGGCAGACTCGGCAGCAGCCACAGTCTTCTTGGGTCTGACAGCCCCGGCACACTCCACAGCCTTGGCTCTGTGGGGGTCCAGAGGTGTGACGCAATGGGTCAGGGCCCTGAGAGGCAGGGACTGGGGGTGAGCCTTGGGCCCACCCCAACTGCCCGACTCACCCTCTTCACAATCCGGAGGCAGCGTCTCCGCTCACACTTGCAGTACAGCCCCGAGGCCACGTCATGGGGCAGCTGCAGGAGGCAGGTGGAGCAGGCCCCGCAGTCTTCAGTTACCTGGCAGGCTGCACACTCCCCGCAGCCCACACGCTGCCAGGAACAGGTGGGGCAAGGTCACAGGCCCAGGCAGGGTGGCTCAAAGAGCTGCCCATCCTGTGTCTGCTGACCATCATCACGTCTGCTAGTCCATTAGCCTCATCACTGCATCTGATCATCACCCATGAGCCACCAATAGAGGCAAATTACCATGCCCACGGGTCTCCTATTGGCTTTAGCCCTGTTACTGAAGCTCCGTTAACCTCCAGACCTGCTAGTTCCCTAGAACATGCCTCTGGCACCCTATGTACCCGTCACCAGTCCATCAGACCCGCCAACAGCCCCAGCACTCCCTGCCCTCCCTGCAGAACAGTGAGGAGAAAAGCAGGTTGTAATTACCTTAAACATCCGCTGCTCTCGGTTGAAGGCAATTCTCTGCGCTGAGAGAAAGAGAAGTGAAAATGGAGTCGTAGACACCTGACCTCACCTCTGCCCTGATTCCCACCTTTTAACCCCCACCCTGCAGCCCTGTTGGCAGCCTCAGGGCCTGACTAGGACCTCGCCCTGGCTCCTGCCACCCACCGCCTCAGTCTTTGCTCACCGCGGCAGTCCTTGCATAATGTCTTGAGTCGCTGCCTTCGGGAGCCATCCCCTGAGAAGTGGATTCCACAATTCTCACAGCACCTACGATGGCAAAAGAACAGGTGTGGGGCCCTGAGAGCACCCTCCATCACAGCCCTCTGGCATCTGGCTCAGCGGAGTGAGGTCAACACTCACCCAGGTGCAGGGAATGAGCTCGGGGTCGGATCAGTGCTAGCTTTGGCTTCTTCCCTGGGTGCCTCTTTCCTGACCTCACCCCTCTGGGATCCAACATCACGCTTCCGAGCTCTGGCTGGCTTGGATGCCTTCTTCTGCTTCTTGTTTGAGGTGGGCACAGAACTTGCCTGAAGACGAGAGCAAGGGCAGGAGGAATGTGTGTAAATAGGCAGATGCTGGGAGGCATAGACACCTCTGCCCAGGCACCCCTTTCATAAAGTACCTTGGGGGCTGGGTAGCACAAGACACCTTGCTTGAAGTCGAAGAGGGAGAGGTCACATGCAGGGCCCAGGTATCTGGTCAGTTCAACTTTGCTTCGGATCCTATCTCCTGTCGGACTGGAGACAGGCCAGGATGAGCCGGTACTCAGTTGGGGTCAATATCATTCCATCCATACAACCCATGAGACCATACCCAACCCACCCTAAGTGGCAGGAACACACACATATAAATACCAGCACGCATGTAAACACTAATGATACAGTCCGGAGACACACGATGCTTCTGTCAACAGGCTGCAATACAGTGGTGGTTCTATAACAATTACGACAAAGCTGAAAAGTCCTTTTTGCCTAGAGACATCACAGCAAAATGTACCTCTCACATGTTTTTGATAGATGCCAGTGTAAACACATCTACCGCACAGTCATCAGAAGTATAAGCATAATGATTATGTACAGTATGCAATACTCGGTAACAAGAACACACACCTTAATGATTTATGTATTTCCCACACTGTATTTTCTGTCATTGTTTTAGCATACCGCTTCTATCTATTAAAAACAAAACTTGCACTATGAAAGTGTACCATGTTCTGACAGCAGCAGCCTCAGGTAACTTATGTTGGCTGCAACTCCTGACACATCATTTTCTCTTAATTTCAAGTTTATTCTGTTTTGTTCATTGTGGCCCTAGAAGCAATTAGGATATACTATATACATACAGAGTCCAGCACTACACAAAGATGTTTCAAGCCTCAAAAGACTGAATATATGCTGGTGGTCCTTTAAGGTTTTTCACCAAGTGATGTCATAACAGCTTCTGTAAGTGCATGCCACAATCCTGCACCATGATGAAATCACCTCCTAATGTATTTCTCTGCATATTTCCCCATTAACTGACATTTGACTGCACCACTGCCAAGTGTAGTTGGTACCTCACGTAGATTTAAGTACACTCGATGATATCTGCACACACAGGGGTCCAAGTTGTTAAGTAATGTATGACTGTAAAAATGTAAACAAGACATGAATAAGAGGAGGCTTCAGAGGAAACAGGCTAATTTTGGTTCAAAAATTTTGAAATTCACACGAGAGTCTTCAAAAAGCACATGGAAAATATCTATTACAAGATAGCCATACAGATTTCAAAAAGCTTGCACCAAAATAAATTTGACCTTTTAATTCCATTTGAAGTACCCTCATATTTATACCACATGATGCTACTGACATTGAAAATAATTTATATAAACACATGTAATAACATGCATCACATACCAAACACACAACCTAGCAACGAAGAGTTACAACAAAAATGCTTCTAAAATTGTAACTAAGTTTAAAAAAATACAAATAGGTATAACTAAAAACAAAATGACAAATAGGCAACTTAAGCTGGGAGTCCAGCTTAAGTCACCTGGGTTTCCTGCCTTTCTGGCTAGAGGCACTGCTGGTCCTTTGCAATAAGCTATCTTTTCAAGTCTGTTTATAAAACAACCTTGGAAGATAAGAGATAGGGTCTCCTTCCAGAGCAAAGAAAAAGCCTACTTACTGTCCTAACATAACAGGTTTCTACACCCTCAGCTCAGAGCTTCTCTCCGGATACAGGTCTATTTAGCCATCCTCACATCTTTCAGTAGGGACCAGAGCTCAGAAAACTGACACATTTGCAGGAACTTGTCAATTAATAATCTACATGAAGTATATTAATAGAGGGAAACTAATCTTACTGCTAAGCAGTGTGCTGTACTACGTAGTGAATGTCTGCGTTTTGGAATTTTACAGTTACTTAAGGTAATAGTGTCATGAATGGTTTGAAAATGTCTGGTGACTTGCTTATTTTAAGTGATCACCATTAAGTCAGAAAAATGTATTTTCAAATGTTTTTCAAAATGCCTCTTGAAATTTTTAAACAATTTAAACTGCATAAAATAAATCACCATGTTCAAAGTTAAAACAAAACAAAACAAACTGACACAAAAGTGATGACATCCCGTATTCTGCTATGCTGGAATAAACTGCCTTCCATCTCTGTTCCAAGAGTCTGCTGCTCCTATTAACACCCACAAAACTGCAATAAATTCATTCGTTATCTCGTCCAAACGGGGGTAAGATCCCAGATCCTTTACAGTTCTAGTCAACTGTATTTAATTAACCTTGAAAGTTTTACACAAACATATAAATATGCAAATAAGTGGTAGCCAAATAGAAATGAAAAGCAACTGTATTCGCTGTCCTATGATATGGCAACTTAGATTACAAAACAAACAAAAATATCAGGATGACTATAGGAAAATTAATAATTATCACATATTCAAAAACATGTGCAAATGTTTATACCTATGTTTATGTACTGTCAGGCAATTCTCATAATTAATGGCTGCTATGTTCTAGAAAGCTTCCAGAAAAACTCAATTAGTCAATCTGCTTCTGAGGCAAACGCAGGGTCACCTCTGCACTGTGTGTGCAGATGCCATGGAGCGTACTTAATCTACACAAGGTACCAACTCGGCACTCAGGTGATGCTCCAGCCGTCTGCTGGCTGATGGGATATCTGCTGAGGAAGACCTCAGAGCCATAGCAACTGCTGATGTTCAGAAACACCTCACTGAGCAGACACTTCTGACCAATGATAAGCCACCCAGGCTGAAGGAGTCAGAGGCGGGTTCTGAAGGCCACTGTGCTACATAGGTTTGTGTGCCAAGGTTCTTGCAAAAAAAAATTGGCTTCACTGGCACAGAAAACCTACTCTTTCACATAATCCCTTTCCCAGTTTAACACTACACAAAATATTTTTAAAATTCTTCCTCAGACTTCTGACCTGCAGAACTTGCATCACTTGCAAGTTTAACATTTTTTCATGCCATATCTCCTTCTGAAATGTGCCAGCCAGTTAGCACGAGCTGAGATGAGCTTCATACCTTTCCTGCTGCTGGGGAACATGACTTTGGCTTTCCTCGCAACACAGTCCACTAGGTTGCACTGGTCATCACTCTGCAGATCCACAAACCAAGCCACTTTCCCACCTTTTCCATACCTTCAGCAAGGATTATGGGATTTTCTTTCCCAAGGGTGGGGAAGAAGAACAGATACTTTCTGAAGAAGTTTCACATATACATCACCAAGTTTCCTCTTTTCTCTGGATATAGCACAGGTTTGATTCAAAATATGGAACTGAACAGACAACTGCATTGTAACACACTGGAGCAGGAGGAAGCTGATTGAATACATTGCTGTCTCTCTAAGGCACATGCCGAGCTTTTTACACTCACAACACTGACAGCACTTCAGCACTACACTTAGGGGCCCTTCTCAACAGCAGAATCACCCCTCATTTCTAACAGCAAAAAGCCCAAAGATCCAAAACGCATGTTACTCAGTAGAATGCGGAAAAGACACTTGTTTACTATTCCAAAAAGCCATATTCAACCTCAAACAGGAATACCTGCATTAAGTGACTGATTGCTGTTCTGTGTGACCACCCTGGATAGCATGAGACCACTGGGTTTACCAACTTTAGAATTAGATACATTTTCTTAAGCAGGTGAATTTGCAAATGTAGGATCTGCAACTAATTAGGTTTCACTGTGTCTATCTTTAACCCTGCCACAAAGTTGATCACATTCCATCCAGCCCCTGACCAGGTTCAGGCTGATGCCTGACCTTGCCCACAACTCAGCAGTACCTCTGGTAATAGATGTCTGAGCGCCCACAGGTGGCCCCTGACTTGCGAAAGACTTCCCGGCGCTTCCAGCCAGGGCCCAGGGCTGGGCAGTCCTGCCAATCCTCAGCCATGGAGCCCTTGGGAAGCAACAGCAACAGCAGCCTGCAAAGTTGGGGGAGGAAGGACATGAGAGAAACAGAAGCCCTAGGACAGGGCAAGCAGGGCCCTAGGCCACATGAACTAGAATCCATAATGCTTGCCTGAACCCAGACCTGCCAGACTCACAGAGCAGATGGTTGCTGGACACACCCTGTCCCCATGCCCGCCTGACGCTCCCTGTCCTGGCCTCAGGGGTTCCCTCCTTCCTCTCCCTTCGCCTCCCGCACTCCTCATCCTCAGCCCAAGGTCCCAGATTTCTCATTCTCAGTCTGTCCTTTCACCAGCCAGCCCACCTAGGAACCTTGCAGTCCTTGCCCTCCTCCCCACTCCCACCCTCTGCCCCAGGGATCTAACCACGGCTTCTCTCCCGCTGGTTTTAACTGTCCTGTGCTTTCTCCCACACCCTCAGTGATGACTTCGTTCTCCTCTGGCACCTTTGAGAAGGGAGCCCCTCAACTCCTCCTCATCTTCCGCCGGGACCCTACCTCATCAGCCCAAGAGCTTCCCTGCCCATCCTATTCTTTCTCAGTTCAGACCCGCTCATCCCCTCCCTTGTGTCAGTCCCCATGTCACCCCATTCCACTCCTCTGGCGGCGACCGTCCCCCATGCGTTCTCGTCCTCCGAACACCCACATCCCCAACTGTCCCCACCCCCAATGCCTTGTCAACCCCACTGACAATACTCCAACCCTCTACTTCTTCTCGTCATCCCTCAACCCCTTGACCCCTCCCTTTCGCTCCCCAACACCTCCATTTCCTCCAGTGTTCGGAATCCCCATTTCTCTCTCCTTAACCCGAGGCGCCACGGACCTCCCCTTTGCGTTCCCAAGTCCCCATTCCTCTCTGTCCCCGTCCCAGGGTTCTGACACACCAGCTGTCAGCGTTCTGAGCCCCGTTCCTTCCCGCCTTCTGCGTACCTGCGCCCCCCATTCCTCCCTTCCCTTGCTCGACGCCGCCATTCCGCCCCTTCTCCGGCCGAAGGCCCTGCACTCCTCCCCGTCAGCCATCCGAGCTCTGACGCCTCCCGCCCCCGCCCCACGGCTGTCTCACCAGCTTGGCACCGGCCTCTAGGCCCGCCGGCCCATGCCGTGGAATCAGCCTGCGCCTCCCGCCTCGTCCCTCTCTTCCTCCTCTGCAGCCGCCTTCTCCCAAGCAGTAGCTGTCGCCTCCGCGGCCGTTCGTTGTTCCCGGAACCGGAAATCCACGGCCAGCCTCTCGGGCTCCACCCCCGGCTAGACACCTGCGCGCTAGAGCCCCACTGGCTCATACCCTAACAGGAGGCTCCCGCGCTTACGTGCTGACGTCCCCTGGCCAGCACCCAGCGCGCCTGCGCCTTAGCTCCTCCTTAGCAGCGGCGGCGGCGGCGGGGGGGGGGCGGGGGGGGGGGGGTGGGGGGGGGTGGGGCCAGGGGATGTCCTGTTTGCGCCTGCACTCACCCCGGCCATGGCTGGTGGAGTCAGGAACGAGGGTCTCCCTTTCCGCGGGGTTGTCAGCGCCCACAAGGCAAGCACAGCAGGCACCACGCCTCTGCCCTGGGGTTCCTAAGAATCTTCCCCTGGGCCGGCCCCCTACTCTTTCCGCAAGCACTAGGGTAAGGGGCAGCCTGTGCGCCAGGTAATTGGCACCTAGTGAGGGCTGGAGGTCCCCCAAGCCAAGTTCTGTCCGACCGAGGGAGAGGAGGCTGGGGCTGGTGGGATCCAAGTGGGCGCCCGTTGTATACCGTTTCCCTCAGTGAGGCCATAGGTCAAGGCCGTAGCGGACTGCCGCACACGAGGGAGAAGTAGCCACATGCTACCTGCTGCCCTGAGTCCCGAGCCAGGGGTGCACCACGGCCCAGCGTTTCCGGGGCCAGGTACGCGCCTGCGCCTGCAGCAAGAGCCCAGAGTATTGGAGCTGTCTAGCTTGTTTCAATCTTTTATTAACAAAACCGAAGAGGGGGAAGGTAGGGTGGCCATCACAGTCCCACCCAGGCACGAGAACAGAGACGAGGACAAGCTCAGACCCTTCCGAAGGGACTGAGGGTGATCAGACGGTGGGTGGGCGCGAGGAACTGGACAGCAGAAGGTGCAGGGTGTCCAGCCGGGCTGGGGGCTCAGTGCTCAGCGGTCAGCACTGGAGCGCAGGTCGGTGGTGAGTGGGTCATGCTGGATGGTCTGGTGCAGCATCAGGGCCAGCAGACCCGCACGGTTGGTCATGGCAGTGCGCACATTGCGCTCCTGCTCGAACAGCTCGTCCAGCTTGTACCACTGCCAGGCGAGCACAAGAAGAGGTCAGCCTCCTGGACTCCCACCCTGACCACCACCCCAACTAGCATCACACCTACCACCCGCACGCGCTCCAGGTCCACTTCAGCCCGCCGTAGCTTCTCCCAGCAGTAATGACGATTGCACTGGCGTTTGGGCAAGCGGCAGAAGTCACCTGTGAGCTCAAAGACATCCCGGACAAGAGGACATCCGCACACCTCATCCGCTGGCACCTGCAGGGAGAAGCCAGGTGTGGACGAGTGGGGTGCTGAGGGAGACTAGGAATGGAGGAAGGAGACAGGAAGGACTGGGGAGTTGGGGAAAAGGAGGAGGATGACAGAGAGGTAAGGACAGTGGGAGGCATGAGGTGACCAGGCAGGACTGGGAGCTGAGGAGAGAAGGGATGCCTATGAGCTAGTGAGGCAGGGAGGTGGCTGGCAGGGGAGTGAAGACAAATCCTTACTTTGGGGTCTCGTGAGTGCTCAGGGCACAGCACCTGGAGCCGCTTACAGTACGTTTTGCTCTGAGGATTGTAGACATCACAGAAGAGTCGTGTGGCCCTAGGACATAGGGAAGAGAGGGTAACGGTAAGAAAGGAGAGGCCCACTTCCCTTCATCATGCCCCAGCCTGCCCAGCTGCACACACATTCCACCTCTGAACGCTGCATGGCCCCCTCACTCACCCTTCTATGCGGGTGGGGTACATGGACCCAAAGGACGTCTGGCTCTCATACTAGAAGGACAAGCACAAGGAGAGGACTGTGGATGTGCGTTGGAGGCCCACCCGAGACACGATCCCACCCTGGCTGTCCTGCCTAGCCCCACTCAGGCTGACACCCCAACCTTGGCATAGCAGCGCTCCATGTGGCGCAAGGCAACACGTGGGTTGATGGGGTGCCCGCAGGACACGCAGAAGATCTGCAGGTCTGTGTCATCACTGTCATTCTCATTGCTCTGTGGAGGCGGGTGGGGAGACAGCGATGAGGCCTGGCAGGAGCAGGTGCTGGCCCTGACCTGCTGTGCCTGGCTGCCTCACCTCCTCATCCTCGCGCACGGCCTGCTGCTTGGCCCGCAGGATTATGGCCTCAAGCTCATGGAAGCGGCGCTCCATTTCCTGGAGGCGAGTGCGGGCACTCTGCTGCTCCCGGCGGATGCGCTCCAGCAGCTTCTTGCCATGCTCCTCAGCAATGCAGGGGCTCTGCTGCCACTGCTGGATGCGCTGCGGGAGGATCTCATAGATGCGGCTGCACAGGAAGGAGACTAAATGGTGAGCTAACAGCCAAGGACCCGATGCATTGGGTAGATCTGGGGCTGGTGCTGGGCCAACTGAAGGGTGGCTAGGTCATGCCCTACCCTGTGTGTCCTGCCTGTGCTCAACTCCCGGCACAACTCACTTGGCCGCCAGCTTCATGCCACAGTCATCCGAGCAGTACTTGGAGCCAGGCTGGGCAGCACGCACACAGCCAGGCCCCAGGCACTGCGGCAGTGACGCGGGGTCCTTGGCATCGGCCCTCTCTGGGTGTTTCCATTTGTCCTTGTGCTTCTGCTTCTGCCGGTGCCGCTTGTATCTCTCTTCCTTCTGCGAACCAGACCAGGCCGAATCAGGGCAGCATTTCAGTCAGCCCCGAGCCCAGTCTCCCCACCCACTCAGTCCTGACTCCTGCCCATTTGGCCTTGTTCTCTCAACCCTACTAAACGCTGTGCTGTCCCACTCCACTGGAACCCCTCCATCACCTTCTTGTCAGACTTCTTCTCTCGACGCTTCACATGCTTCACTTTCACTGCTCTCTTCCGTAGGGCAGGGTCCAGAAACGGGGACTCTTCAGGGTCACTCATCCAAGGCTGCAAGGAGGGCAGATGACCCACCTGCTCACTTCCCCATCAGCCTTCCACAGCCTCGTGGGATGCCACTGCTTCCAGAACCTCCACCCTTCCATCTTGGAATGCTGGCCCCTGCCTGCTCACCAGGCCGTGGTCATCAAAGGCCCCTGCACAGAAGTCCTGGTAGAGGTCAGGGTCCAGGGGGAGGTCTTCGTCTGACAGTGGCTCAGGTGTAGCTGTTGCCTCTGGTGGCTCTTTGACCACTGACGCTGCCACTGGCCCCTCGTCTTCCTGGATGCGCCCCAGCTTCTGGGATGGCTGTGGCGGTTGTTGGGGAGGCAGTGGCCGGCGGGGCCTTGGCAGGGACTCTGAGGGCGTCACTGGCGAAAGCTGCAGGGCAGAACCTCAGGACTGGCCCTGCCCGCATGCCCACCCTGCCCGCATGCCCCGCCCTTCCCTGGGAGCTGCACTCACCGAGGAAGGGAAGTACTTGTATGATTCCTGTGCCGGCAGGAGGAAGGCCCAGGTCAGCCCCAGGTCAGCCCCAGATCAGCCCCAGGTAGGTGGAGGGTGATCCTACCCTAGCCCCACTCACCTAGCCTTGACTTGTCTCCCCAGACATAAATGCCCCCTTGCCTCTCACAATCAGGACATGTTAATCCCTGCCTGCTCTGCCCTGAAGACCTGGAAACTATGGCCCTACACTGCCTACCCAGGACTGAGGCTTCTCCTGCCAGCCCCTTTCCCTCTCCCTCTCCCCAGTGGCCCCTTTCCCTCTCCCTTCCCACCCATACTTTGCCTCAGCCAACCCTCCTGGACCCATCAGCCCTATTCCCCAACTGGGCCCTGCCCACCCTGCCCATGCTCACCCGGGCTCGCAGCTGGCACTGCCGTAGCCGACACTTCTGCCGGATCTTATTGGGGCCCCCAAACTTCTTCATGTCCCGGCAAAAGTCACAATGGCCACAGTCTTCAGTGCGCCGGCAGGCCTCACATTCACCGCACATACGGGCTGACCGTTTGATCTGCTGCTGCTGCTGGTGGTGCTAGGGGTAAGGTGCCCAGAATGAAAATCAGACACCTGGGCAGGGTCCAAGATGCCAACACCCTGCCATCCTTGCCAGTATAACCACTCACCTGGCTGGGTGTGGCCATCAAGGGCTGTGGAGAGGATTTGTGGGGCGAAGCAGAGCCCCGAGCAAGCATGGCCCCAACCGCTGTTCCTGAGCCCGCTCGGCGTTGCAGGTCCGGATCCGGGATGGGCCTCTTGCGCCCGCCACCCTCATCCCGGGGCTCGCTGCTGTCACGCTCACTGCCATCCCGCTCTCGGGACTTCTTGTGCCGATAACGGATCTCCAACTTCGGGTCTTTCTCTGTGGGTCAAAATGGAGGACCAGAGTGGGTTGGCATGGGAGACTTGTGAGGAACCCTTTTCTATCTTCACTGCTTTGTTGTCCCACCCACTTGTTCTGCCCCCTTACACCAAAATCCTGTCACCAGTTCAACAGAGCCCCCACTGCAGCTCACCACAGACCATCAATCACTCTGCCCACTGCTGCTGCTGCATTCTGGTACCCCCACCCTTCGTGACACCCCCTCCTCCTCAAAGCACCACTTGTGCTCCCCCCTGCCCTTACCTCGACAGTCCCGACAGTACCACTCCCGGATGGCCTTCGCCATCTTCTCAGTGATCCGGATGCAGTCCCCATGGAACCACTCATTGCAGTTGTCACACCCACTGCAGAGGAGGGGCAGGTGGCAGAGAAGTGAGGGGCCCACCCCTTCGCCTCTCCCAACCTTGCCAGGGGACAGACCCCCACTCTGGCACACTCACATCATGAAGCAATTGATGTCCGGCTTGCGGCAGATGCAGTAGATTGGTGCGTTCTCCCCATTCTCAGACTTGCTGTCCTCCCCGGCATCTGGAGGTTCCGGGTCTGAAGCATCTCCTTCCTGTGGGACACCTCCGTTATGACTTTCCATCATGGTCCCTCACAAGTATCTCCACCGTGCCCCCACTGTCACCCTAACACAATATTACTCTGCTTAGCAATATGTGCTAAGCAATACTCTGCTTAGTAATATGTGGACTGCTCTGTTCCCATCACCAA